CGATGAACAATGGGAGGACAGTTTCTGCCCAATCATTTTCTCTTCCAACCTGCAACTTATGAGATCACCTGCTTTCCCAAATCCACTTTAACATGAACTCTGCTGTTACTGTTGGTTGATGGAAATGTCTGACTAGATAGAGACAATTCAGGTCCAAATGGACTGCACGTGGGGGGTGTTCTTTTGCAAAAACCCACTGTCATTAGAACAAATGGGCACTTCGATTAGATCCCTGAGTGGATCCCACAGTATCAGCAACTATTAAGTTATCTGGGTCTGGTGCTACTCTCCAGGAGAAAATTGGTATACTGACATGGTCAGGCGCAAAAATACATCAATAATAAGATAAAATGGTTTTGTGTGACAAGTTCTATTATTTGCCATCATACTTCTAAAGCAGTGGTTTGAGTTGCTCACTCTTCTTGACTATGTGAAAGGGTCACGTGGCAGGAAACAGCCCCCTGGGCCTGCCCCTTTGCTTCTTCTCATTGGCCACACCTAGGAGAGTCGGTAACAGTCAGCCTTGCCCACATCAACTGCTTCCCTCCTGTTCCAGGGGTCAAACGTCAGAATGAGTATACATAGGGCCAGGAGCACTGACGGGCTGAGCACAGGTTCTGTTCGCTGGAGGTCTGGACTTGGTCTTGGCACCACAGTGTCCCCAGGCATAGCCACTGAGCCACCAGCCAGGAGCAGCCCCTAAGAAACCTCAGGTGTTGTATATGCTCCAGTGTGCAAAGGCCAAGGAAACAGTGCCCTTTCCTTGGTTGCCCTCATTCCATTCAATAGGGCATTTAAAAATAATCATGTCCTAGAGTTGGCAAGATAGTACAGCAGGTTGGGTGTTTGCCTTGCATGCAGCCAGCATGCCAGGTTTGATCCCTGGCACCCCATATGGTCCCCTGAGCCTGCCAGGAGTAATCCCTGGTGGCAGAGCCAAGAGCAAGCCCTGAGCATCCATATGATCCAAAAACAAGCAACTTAAAAAAAAAAAACATGTTTTGGGGAATCTATGCACTTTTCTGCCTTCTCCCCTTTCCTTCCAGTCTCTTAAAACCTTTTCTGAATTCCAAAACCATAAAATAAAATCAATTAAAAATCAAAACTTTTTAAAATTTTATTTATTTTTAGTGAAGAGCCTTGCGCACAGCCAGCCTGGCCAAGCCGGGTTCGATTCCTCCACCCCTCTCAGAGAGCCCGGCAAGCTACCAAGAGTATCTTGCCAGCACGGCAAAGCCTGGCAAGCTACCCATGATGTATTCAATATGCCAAACACAGTAACAACAAGTCTCACAATGGAGATGTTACTGGGCCTGCTCCCTCGAGCAAATCGATGAACAACGGGAGGACAGCAAACAGTGCTACAGTGAAGAGCCATGATTTACAAAGTTATCTTAGCTGTGTTTTAGGCTTACAGTAATTCAACACCAGTTCCTCCACCAGGGTCAATTTTCCTCCACCAGTGTTCCCAGATTTCCTTGATAAGGTGGAAGTGGCAGCAGCCAGCCCATCTCTGTTTGTAGGCTCTTCAAGATTCCAAGATTCTTCAGCATTTTCAAGAGTGAAAATATTGAAGATGCTCAGACTCAGAGTTTGAAAGTGGAAAAGTTTATTGGAAAGTAGAAGAGAAAAGAAAAGAAGCTCCCCAAGTGGGGAGAAACAGTATAAGACTAAGTTAAGGTGACACACACACACACACACACACACACACACACGAATCTCAGAACCGAGGTCCCTCTGCCTGCCCCCTAGGAAACCCGGCGGTCGCCATCTTCTGGAACTCAATGAAAGCTTCAGGTACATGGTGGCAGTGGCAGCAAATGCCAGGCCTCACGGGACAGGGGAGGAGCTGGCTCTTCTCCTTTCCCCCACCCCGATGGGACTCTGAGATGATACCCACAAACTGCCACAGGCCACTTAAGCTCCCACAGGGTCATGATCCAGAGACACAGACACGAATCTTGGAACCGAGCAGCTCCCTGCAGAGATCTCTCCTGACCCTATTATTAAAATTCTAGAATTCCTAGAGCAGCAAGATTATATTTTATCCATAACAAGCAATACCAAACAAATTGTCTAACACTGCTTTTTTGGCAGTTATGAGTGGTGGTGGGACTGGTGTCAAAATATTAATTTTGAATGTAACCAAAGTAGGAAAAGAGTATTGTGCAAATTGTCTGCCACACAAACAGGGGAAGGGGTGGGATGGAAGGTAGGGGGCTACTGGGGATTTTGGTGAAGCAAAAAAAGACTAAGTTAAGGTAAGGGAGTTTGGTGAAGGCCTTTTAAAGGGGCTTCTGGCATCCCTATCAGTTGGCAAGTGTTTACAAAAGGTGCCAGAAAATTGCAATGATGTCTAGCTAGTATAAATCTTTCTGGGCATTTTGGCCCCTTATTTTAGTTTCCCTGTCATCCTAGGCTCCAGGACAGAGTTGCATGGTCCTGAAAGTCTATATGATCGGTGGGGCAAGTCTTTGGGAGTGAAACGTGTCAGGTCAATGGGAGAGAGGTGAACAAGGGAAGCTGCCTTGAAGAAGGTGGTTTCCTTCTTTACTGATGAGGGGAAACACATCTTCCAGGTCCAATTGCCATGATCTCAGTTTCCCCATCAGCCTAGACTCCACGATGGCCCATTATCTTAGTTTCCCCATCAGCTTAGAGTTTTATGTTCCTGGAAAGCCCCAGAATATGGAGACAGAAACTTGCAGGTAGAATGCGTGTTATAGGTTGATGGGGCAGAGACGGAACATCTGGAGAGAAGAAACTGTGGCTTTCTCTCTCACTGGCAAGGGGGAAACTGAGGTTTCCTCTTTCATGCTCCCCACCCCAACCCCCACTTCATCCCTATAAACTTGACAGGCTCATTACAAGGTTCCAGTGGTTGCCACTTAAGATCTCACGTTTTCAGTTCTGCTGAATCTGTGTTAAAACCAAACATTTTTCTGATGACAACAAGACACATATTAATTACAAAAAATTGGGGAAACAAAGAAAGTGAAGTTCACTTCTAATTTTGCCTCCCTAATTTACTAACTGATGTAGCAGTTCCCATCCACACTCTTTCCTTCCTTTTTCCTGTGGCTGCCCAGGAATTAAGGACTTAGAGGCGGAGACATTAGGGCAGGGAGAACATACAAGAGATGTGCATTTCCCACAATTGGCCTCCAGGCACCATCTTAATGCACCAACAGCCCTGATCCAGAGACACATCAGCAAATCCCGGAAGACACCACAGCTCTAGAGATCTCTCCGGGCCCCATACCAGGCCAATTTCACTGGGGAACCCCAGATGGAGCAGGTGCAGTCTCCCCACCTACTCCAGATGGAATCCCGGTAACCAGGAGCTTCCACTAGCAAGCCCCCTGTGTGTGGGTTCCAGGACTGAATCTCCAGATGGTGCCAGAGGACCTGGGCTGCCCCTCCCTGAGTCCCCTCCCTCCAAAAGACTGGCTGTCATGCCCACAATTTGCCTCCAGGTGCCATCTTAGCGCACCATCAGCCCTGGCCCAGACACTCCCAGTTGAATCCCAAACTGAATTAGTGCCATACACACATGTCTCTGGAACCCAACCATTTACAGTCTAGAAATTTACATTTTCAATTGCGGACATGCAAGATCTCATGATATTCAAAATAAGTAATGGAAAATAAATTATCTAGTGTCTGTCCCTGGCAGGTAGGCTTGAATGGTAGTGGGTAGGGTGGCAAAGGAGAATAGATGAAGGAAATTTACTTAACTAGAGATCATTTAGTGGCAGTCCCTCCTGCCCAAGGTAGTTACTGGACTTTGTTCTGCGTATATTTGCACATCAGTGAATTTCTGTGCAAACATCTCACAACACCAGGATGGGATCAGTGCCTGTACATTGCCATGTGCATCCTCTTTGTTGCACAGAAACACAAGTTTATCCTCCCCAAAACAGAACCAGAGAGCTAGTGCAGCAGGTAAGGTGCCTGACTTGCACACAAAGATGAAAACTGACCAAGGACTTATAATGATGAAATAAAATAACTCAGAATTTAGCATGGGACATTTATTCACTGATCTCTCTCAGCCTGTAATAAGACTGAATTTAATGAGGTTCAAAGTTCCAAATAAACACATTCTTTACAAATTATATCCAAGAGCCAGATACATAGCATAGGGTTTAACGTGCCTTGCATGCTGATGACTTCATTTTGATCCCTGGCACTGCATATGGTCCCCAATCCCCATCAGGAGTGATCCCTCAGCACGGAACCAGGAGTAAGCCTTGAGAACTCTTTGTGTGGCTTAAACACCTCCGTCCTCCCAAAAAGCTATCTGCTTTTTATAAAGTTAATACTTTCATCAAGCAAAGATTAAACGATCAATCAAGTGAAACCCAACTTATTTTTAGATCTCAGGATTTTCATATTTTATGTTCATATGAAATGGGTCAAGATGTTCTTCCAGCTTGCCACAACTGTGTGGGGCAAAGGGCGGTTAGGATAGAAAAGGAACCAACATGACAATAATAGTTGGAAATGATCGTTTTGGACAGGAACTGAGTGTTGAAAGTAGGTAAAGGGATATACCTGATAACCTTTAAAATCACGAGACCCAAAAGGCGAGAGAGAGAGAGAGAGAGAGAGAGAGAGAGAGAGAGAGAGAGAGAGAGAGAGAGAGAGAAGAAAAGTGCCTGCTACTAGTGGCAGGCATTGGGCACAGGGAGGCAGAAGAGAAACTGGGACCATTGGTGGTAGGAAGTATACTGGTGAAAGGATCGTTGTTGGAATATTATATATATGTGTGTGTGTGTGTGTGTGTGTGTGTGTGTGTGCATATGACTGAAATACAATCATGAACTTTGTAACTGTTTATCACTGTGATTCAATTTAAAAGGGGGGGGGGGAGATACTCTTCCACTTGTTCATCTAAATGTTCATCATGAGGTTCACTTCTATGAAAATGCACTGGTGACCTTGTTAAAGCCATGGAAAATGTTTATGCCATCTAACTAATGCTACTCTCCTAATAGAATGAAACTTTGAAGGAACACGATCTCCTAGTGGAAGGGCATGGAAACAGCCAGGCCTCAACAAGTCTCAGTCTACATGTGGATGGACTGGGGGAGCAGAGAAAAGAAACAAGGTAAGGTGAAAGTATTGTATTACTGACTCAAGGAAATGGATGTAGCACTAGTGTTAAGGGTGGGCATTGAGTAACTGATTTATATACAGGGCGCCTCAACTCAAAAAGATTTAAAAGCAATTTAAACACAACGAAATGAAAGCAAGACTGCTAGAGAAAGACCACTAAATTAATGTTATCTTGTTAAAACTTCTTTTAAAACAGAAATGATGCATACAGAGAAATTGTTTTTCCCTCTAAAGCAATTTAAAAAAAATAGTAACTATCACGAAACTCCCTTAATTTAAGAAAAATGACTTCAGATCTGTGGAGTTAGTGGATTTATTGATCACTTGACATTGAAGGGTGTTTGTTTTAATTCTCCTGCCTCAAGGTACAGTTATGTGACGACCCTACAGCTGCTGGGCCTGGATGATGGGTGTGCACCTAGTGACAGGAATCCTGTCCTGAGAAGAGGGACCTACCTGTCCTTTCTGTACCTACGTCACCTGCGAATCAGGGAGCTGCAGGTACAAGGGTGACCCAGCGTACTGGCTTCGGGCATCTGGAAGTTGCTGAGAAAGAAACTTTGCAGAAGGGCAGTCCCACACCTCTTATATTTGTCCACTTTGCTCCATGCTCTGATATTTCCATGAAATCATCACCTTTCCGGTATTTCCCTTTCTTAGCAGTTGAGTTCTCCTGCCAACTCCAGATCCCCCCTTACCATTCCCCGTGGCTGGAGGTGGGTGGAAAACAGTTCTGACCCTATTTTTTGTTTCAGCGCATCTGCTTAGGGATTCTCAACTACTTCAGATCCATTGAGCGAACGCTGACCATCAACACTGCGGGTCTGACCAGGGTTGCTGGGAACTTGGTCCAGACCCTGGAAGACAGCTCCGGGGTGAATGCGGCCAGAGGAGGTTTGGGCACTCTGCAAGGTCTTGGATCTGACCACTATGTCCACAGGACACCTGCCGAGCACAGGGTGCGAATGGATTCTGCTTTGATCTAGGAGTGGTGGTGGGTGCCCCCAGGCAGGACTCAGGGGAAAGGGGGCACATACCTGGTGAAACTCAGCACATCAGGCCAGTTGGTTCAGTGCTCAGGTGGGCAACACAACACTGTTCTGGTCTAGTTATGCTGTGGGCCATGAGAGTCACAGCCAGAAGTCAGGGACCCTTGTTCTGCTTGCTCTTCTTCCTTAACGAGTGTCCTCCTCCTCCTCATCTCCAGCCACTCACTGCGACAGACTCCCTCTCCCCCAATGCCCTCCTCCCTAGAACTTGCCTGGCTTAGCACATTGAGGCCAGTGAGCATGCATCTCAGCAGAGCTGGGAGAAGGTTAAGAAACTTTGGAAACAAACACACCTATAAAACCAACTCTTCTGGCTCTAATAATTAGTTTACCTGATAGCACAGCGCGTAGGGCATTCGCCTTACACGCGGCCAACATGGCCGACCCGAGTTCGATTCCTCCGCCCCTCTCGGAGAGCCCGGCAAGCTACCGAGAGTATTCGATATGCCAGACACAGTAACAACAAGTCTCCAATGGAGACGTTACTGGGCCCGCTCGAGCAAATCGACGATCAACGGGAGGGCCTTTACCTTTACCATATCATATCAGCAGTGTGCTATCTGTTACTAGATTTGTAAAAGCTTCTTTTGATCAATGAGCCCTCTCCTTTGTTTGTTCTGGGATGCAGGTAGGAGGTGAAAATGAAGGAGTCCAGAGAGCTAGTACAGCAGGTGAGGTGCTTGCCTTGCATGTCGTGGATTCTGGTTCTATCCCCACACTACTCAGGGTCCCTAAACATAACCAAGAGTGACCCCTAAAGTACAGAGCCAAGACTAAGGCCTAGCAATGCTCAGTTGTGACTCCAATACCAAAAAAAGGGGGGAGGGAGGGAGACAAATCTCTCCCTGCCCTATTGATGGTAGGAAGAGGTGCATGAGGGAACACATTATCTTGATCTTGAACCCATCCTCTCAGAAACAATGTGGGGCTGGTGGTCTTCTTACAAGCCACAGGAAGCTGCTGCTTTCATGAAAGAAACTCTAGAAGTGACCTTTGGTCAGAGACTTTATTTACTGTTAAATACATATGTGGGTGCCTACCCAGTGGTATTCATGGTTATTGCTGGTGCTGGTGTGGCAGTGCTGCCTGGACCTAGTTAGACCACCAGGGAGACATGAAGCCCCCCACCCCCGGCAGTATTGAGGGCCTTATGGTTGGGAGGATGGAGTGTTTTGATGGTCACAGACATACCTCTGAGTTCTCTCACTGTACAGGTCTTTCACACGACATGTGGTTGAGCCACACTCCCTGTTTGGAGTCTTGTCAGTGTTTAAACCCACGTGTCTACCCCTGATTCTGGGTGTCTTCTTCATGTGGGTGATGGGAGGCACAAACGCTCATTTGTTGGGCTGCTACATAAGGCTGAGGGCGCCTAGACTTCTGGGAATAAGGTCATTGCGATCACCACCCTAGGGAGCTGACCTTGGAGAAGTCCCAAGAGAAAGACCGTTCCCTAGGTGCAGTGTGTTTGATCCCTTGCAGGAAGTTCAGGACAAGCATTGACATATGTTCACTCAACAACAATACCCAGAAAGCAAAGCACTCACTACCCTACACGGGCACGCTATCCTTTTCTGTGCCTCCTGAAGGCCTGTGGTAAAGCTGTTGTGAGTCAGTGGTAGGAGAAGAGTCTCCAGGCTGAGGGAGAGCCAATGCATTGACCCAAAGGCAGAAAGATTGAAAGATTGAAGCCATTGGATAGTGTCATTTATCCAATAATTTTGATAAGGCCTTAGTTAAAATTTCTGAACAAATTATTTATTTTTTATAAAAAAATCTAGTGAGAGAACTATTAACTACGTTACTGAAAGGTCTAAAATTTATATCATCAGATGATGGCAATAAGGTAGAAGGAGTGGTCACTAATGTTTCTATAGTTATTATATTTTCTAAAATAGTTATTTTGGCATCTGTTAATTTTCAGACTTAAAAATATATGAATCATTCCAAAGTTTGGATTATTTCTTAGCTGAAGAGGTAATTATTGCTTGCCTTTTCCTACTGTTACTCTAACCAAAATATTGAAAAATTCAGTTCCTCATATATATTTTTAAAAATAATGAATGATTATAAACTTTTGGATGACAAAACTGAGGGGCTTGGTAGGGTAAATGAGAAAGTAGACTAGAAGGTGACAAAGATAGTGGGGGAGGGAAGGTCCTGAGCGTTTGGAGGGTGAAAAGGGTGCAGTAAGTGTGTATATCAAAACCAAAACACTAACATTATTGTAACCATGTGGCCTAAACTACAATAAGAATAATTAGTTAATTAATAAAGTCTGGTTTGCAAGAGTAACATCATATTTGCAATCCCTGGTATATGCTCTCTCTTGATTGCTCAGCTGTTTAGAACCGATAGATTTACTATCTGTGATCCCTGGCAAAGCCAGCAAATTCCAGCCAGTCATGTGTGAGCACAGCAGCTATGGGTGTAACTCCCTGGCAAGGATATGTGTGAGCATCATAACTGCAGAGAGTAACCCTGGTGAACACGACAACCAGATGTGTAAGCACTACAACGAAGCTTGTGTGTAAGCCCAGTCATCACATTAACAGCAGAAGGGAAAGGAGGGCAAGAGAGAGAAGGAAGATGGGAACTTTCAAGGAAATTAAGTCTGTTATCACATAGTAGATTGGGGATATTTGCTTTTATACTTTAAATGACACACACCAAAAAAGTTTTTTTCCTTAAAAATATTATATATTATATATACAATATATAATGGGAATCATAGTAGACTGTTGATGGGAATGCAAAATGCTCTGCTGTTTATGTAAAACAGAAAGGTGGTTTCTCAAAAATTATAGACAGAATGACCACATGACTCAGACTTTCTGGGCATATACCCAAAGAATTGAAAGAAGGATATGAAGAGATATTTTATCCTATGCTTATAACAGCATTATTCCCAGCTGCCAAAACATGAAAGCAATCCAAGTGTCCTTGGCTGGATGAACAAATACAATACACGCACACATCTGGTGAAAGCAGTATGCTAAGTGCAAGGAACCAATACAAAAGGACCAAATACTGTAGGATTCCACTTTGACAGGGATCTAGAGTAGTCACACCACTGATACAATAAAAGAACTGAGGTTGCCAGGGGCAAAAGATATCAGGAATGGGGAGTTTTAGTTAAATAGACATCAAGTTTCAGCTTCACAAAATGGAAGAATGGATGGTGGTGATGTTTTTTGCAATAGTGTGGAAGTGTCTGAGGCCACTGAACTGTACATTTAAAGCGTATATAGATGTTCTGTGTATTGTATTTTTCCATTAAAATGTGCTATGTGGGGGGCTGGGGCAATAGTACAGCAGGTAAGGTGTTTGCCTTCAACATAGCCAACCCAGATTCAATCCTGGCAACCCATATGATTCCCCCAAGCACCACCAGGAGTAATTTCTGAGTGCAGAGCCAGGAGCAACCTTGAAGCATTGTCAGGTGTGGCCCAAAAAATTAACAATAAAAATCACTGTCACTGTCACTCTTATGCCGTTGTTCATTGATTTGCTTGAGCGGGCCCAGTAACACTGGGAGACTAGTTACTGTGTTTGGCATATCGAATACATCACGGGTAGTTTGCCAGGCTTTTAATGCAGGCGAGATACTCTTGGTAGATTGCTGGGCTCTCTGAGAGGGGCGGAGGAATTGAATTCGGGTTGACCTAGGTTGGCCGCATGCAAGGCAAACACCCTACCCGCTGTGCTATCGCTCCAGCCCAAACAATAACAATAATAAAATAAAATGTGATATATGAAGCCTGTAATGATAGTACAACAGGTAAGAAAATTTCCTGATACATGCTGACCTGGGTTTGATCCCTGGCACACATTACCGTTCCCAAGCCTGCCAGGAATTGGCACGAGCTCAGAGCTATGAGTAATCCCTGCTGGGTGTGACTTCCCAAATAAAAAAAAAAGATAGTGTGATATATGATTTAAAGCTTTATTTTGTGTAATAAAAAATAGGCCAATGTTGCCAAACTTTTTTACTGTTTTCTCCCACAAAGACATTTTTAGGGGCTAAAGAGATTGTCCCAAGGGTAAGACACTTGCCCTGAACATGGCTAGACCCAGTTCCATCCCCAACACCATATATAGTTCCCTGAGTACCACCAGAAGGATCCCTGAGCATGCCGGGGTGTGTGAGCAACACCATGCGCGCATGCACACACACACACACACTCACACACACACACACACACACACACACACACACTTCAGTTTTATTTTAAGTTTTTGAGACACTGTGAATTACGACACTGTTAATGGCTGTTTCATGCATGAAGTGTTCCAACATCACACCCTCCAATAGAGTTCCAGTGTCCGTCCCACCGTCTCCCACCCTTACCTGGTACTCTCAGTTCTATGGACAAGTTCTTATTTTTTTTTTGCCTCATTTCTGTTCCCTTACTATGTTTTTTTTTTTATATCCTGCATATAAGAGAGATCATTCTGTGTCTGTCCCTCTCCCTCTGACTAGCTTCACTCAGCATGGTATTCTCCAGTTCCATCCAGGTAGCAGCAAATCACAACCAACACTTTTCTCAGAGTTTTGTTGTTGTTGTTGTTGTTGTGTTTATCTCCCTTCCTCCAAAGAAGTGTGAATACCAGAGATGAACCATATATCTGAGTGAGTGCATTGTGTTTATCTGTGCTCTAGACAGAAAAAAAGTCAGGTTAGGGTCTGGACCAATAACCCCTTGGTATCTCTTGCTCTAGATGTCAGCCTATTTGAAATATGGGCAGGGCTCTATTTTCCTTATCGGTTTGATCCCTAACACCACATGTTCCCTGGAGCACTGCCAGAGATCACTCCTGAGCACAGAGCCAGAAATAGCAATTGCTTGGTTCCCCATTCCACACAGTATATTACTTCTAGTTACTTCAACTGATCAAAATTTCATATAAAATTATGCTAATACTGCACTAGAGAAATAGTGTATCAGGTAAGGTGTTTGCCTTGCACAAAGCTGACCCTGGTTTGAACCCTATCACTGCTTAAGTCCTCTCAGCACCTCCAGGGATCACTCCTGAGCACAAAGCCAGGAATAGTCCTTTGAGTACTACAAAGAGTGACCCAGCCCTCCCTTCCCCTGGGGAAAAATAAAAAGCATAAAAAACTACATTTCTAGAAGATCCTCTAACAGCTACGCATGAAATGAAAGGAAAACCCAGAAGAAATGTGGCTACATCAATTAAGAGTTTTGGCCCATTCAAGAGATTCTAGACCAGTCCAGATAATAATAGCCCAAAAGAATATGGGGGGTGGGGGGGTCTGAAGGTACAGAGACCTGGATGATTCGAGAGAGGCAGGGGCATCAACCTGCCTTGGAGACAGAATAGGCAGGGTCGGTGCGAGAGGCCAGGGACAGGCCCTTGGAAAAAGGCAGAATCGGAGTATCTGGTCTCTGTCTCTGATTTGTTCTGTTTTTCATGTTTGTTTCCCTAGTGCTGCTGGAGGCCACCAGGGCTATCCCCATCCAGAGTCAGGAAGTCCTGCGGTTACCAGGGATCAAACCCAGGGTCTTGTGCTGGGAAATATACTCCAGCCCTTTGACCTATCTTCCAGGCCCCAAAATTTTCTTTGTTTTGTTTAGGGGACCTCACCTGATTGTGCTCAGGATCTACTGGTTCTGTGCTCAGAGATTATTCCCAGCAGTGCTTGGGGGACCATACAGTGCCAGGAACTCAGCCAATCAAGCTCTCTGGGCACACCCAACCCCCCAAATTTTGTCTTTTAAGTCATTGGAGTCATTGGACGCCAGCTACCTCCCAGTATCACCTTATCACCTCATCGCACCTACCAAGACTATTTGCAGTAATAAAGACACATTCAGTTCAGTTGGACATAAATTTGGGGTGGATGTTATCCAATATATTCAATATAGTATATTACTAAGAAATGAGATTGTGTTTATACATTTTAGAAATATTTAGAAAATTAAATTCTTTTAAATTGCAGTTGCCAAGGTCTAGAGAGTTCAAGTGCCTCTTAGGTATAGTGTCACCCTCACAACCTGTGACATCCCCACTGACCCCACAACTGTGGTAGCCTCCCACAGTACAGATGAGGAAACAGGCCAATGACATTGAGTGACTTTGCCAGGGTGTGAGCCTGGTAGCTGAACCTGATGCCAGGCTCTCTGATTTCAGAGACCCTTTATCTCTCAGTACCACTGTCTGTCTGCTTTTCCCCAAGTAATCCTGTGATAACCAGGTTAACAACCCTTCATCAGCTCATTCACCACCTCAAGACTACCCTTCCTGGCTGGGGAAATGGTCCAAGGGCTAAGCACATGCTTGGTATGTGAAAGACTGGGTTCAGTCCAGCAAGAACTGCTGGGAAGCAAGCCCCGAGAACAGAGCCAAGAGCAGTTCTTCCATCCCATAGGGGTCTGGGCCACAAGCCAAACACACAAAAATGAAAAATTAAAAATGTGCTTCCCCCCACCGATATTCATTATCAATATTTTTTCTCTACCTAGGTTTTTACCAGCCAGAATTTCTGTAGTTCCATGCTGACAGCCTGCAGTGTGGGAACGAAAGACTGCTGTTGGGTTCACTGGGCCTATGAAGTGGAGTTCTCCCTTTTCCGGTAACTTCTGCCCTTGATTTTCTTCCCTCAGGTCCATAGTGCCCATTTCATGGAGTTCTCTGAAGTAGAGAACCAGGACGACTACTACAGTGTGGAGGCAGGCTGCATCCACACCCAGGACCCACAAGGAGTGCATGTCATTTATGACCAAGCTTTGAGGGACCTGCAGGAGCTGGAGACAGAGCTGCTGCTCATTGCCAGCCATTACATCGAGAAAGAAAAAGGTCAGGAGTCAGTCTGGGGGATGGTGGGTGGGCAAGAGTCAAAGGCTGGGATGATAGCTCAGCAGCTGGCACACATGCTCTTACATGCAAAGCACAGGTTCAATCCCCAGAACCACATGGTTCCCCCCGAGAGTTCCCCCAAACTCTCCTACAGCATCACTGAGTGCGCCCCAACAAAATAAAAGACAAATAAAAAGGTGGCCCAAACAAAAACACAAGGGCTCTCTTTAGCACTCCCCAAATATAAATGCAGAGACAAGAGTATCAGAGAATTCAATAAGCACATCCTACCTTCAACACAGTCACTTTAGAGAAGATGCTGTTTCCCAGGCATCCTCCTTCTCCTTCTCTTGGACATGGTGTCTGCCCTCTAGCCTTCCTTGCTGTTCTTGCTGCTTAGGCGTTTTGTTTTGTTTGTTTTTATTTTGGGGCCACACCCAGCAATGCTCAAGGGTTACTCCTGGCTCTGCACTCAGGGATTACTCCTGGGATTGCTAGAGGGACAATATGGGATGCTGGAGATAGAACCCAGGTCAGCAGTGTGCATGACAAACATGAGTCATTTTTTTCTCAATCACAAAATAGTGATTGACTTTGGGAAACCGCACTTGGAAATAGAGACATTCTTGGCTTCTAAGTCAAAAAACTATAAGGATGTAAAAAGATTCTGGCCAGAAAGTGCTCGATGAGCCCCAAAGGGAGAAGTCATTACTCAGAGTGATCCAATAACCCATCCTGTGTTGTCTCTCTTCCTTTTTTGCATCATTCCAACTTATCCAGTTTTTGAAATAGGTGAGGTAATACAGCGAACTCTTATTTTGGAATTAGATGACATGAGACCTTAAAGTTTCCAGCAGCATGGTAACACTTAAAAGAACCTTGGGCAAGGGTTTGTGCTACTCTGTAACAATGGAGACTAACTCAGAAGAATTACTCTTCATATTGTTATAAAGTGCTTCCCCAAGAGAATGTTTGACAATTAGCCTTTGGGTGACAGGGATCTCAGTGGAGCTCTGTCATCTTCACAAATGTGGGGATCTGAGCCCTGGGGTGCTGTCTTAGGACATTTCATTCCAGCTTTTCCCTTTTATTTATTTATTTATTTATTTTTTGCTTTTTGGGTCACACCCAGTGATACTCAGGGGTTACTCCTGGCTCTGCACTCAGAAATTACTCCTGGTGGTGCTTGGGGACCCCTATGGGTTGCCGGGGATTGAACTCGGGTCGGCTGCATGCAAGGCAAATCCACAGTAGTATCACTCTGAGCCCCCAGCTCTTCACTTTTACTTATATCGTGCATCATACACACTCTCACCTCATTTTTGTTAAGGTTAACTTATATCACCATGCTATTTCCAGCTGCCAAGAACTTCATTTGATTGAAACACTTCCTTGGTGGTCACTTACATTTCCCACATGCTTGTCTTCTCACTGAGTGAGGAAGTAGGTAGTCCCTCGTCTGGTGTGAAATGGTTTTCCAACTGCTGCTACAGGGCCTCCTGATCAAAGTCTTTCTTTCGTTCCTATCATATAGTTGATCACTATTAAACTCGAATTCATAGTACTGGGAAAAGCTTACTTTGGGGAGAAGGTATTTGGGGACCATACCCTGTGGTGTTCAGAGGATCATGTATTGCCAGGGATCAAACCAGTGTCAGCCACATGCAAGGCAATAGCTTTAACACCTTTATCATGCTCTGGCCCTTAAATTTTTTAAAAAATAGTCATCACACCAGAAGATGCTCACTGCTTGGTAATCTCCCCTGTGGCCTTTAGGGCCACAAGGTGATACCAGGAATCAGACTCAGGGCTTTGGAAATGATAAGTTTGTGCACCACCACATGAACCATGTTCTGGCCTGAAAATCTTTTTACTTTTCTCTTCCAAAACAGGCTGTTCACAAACTTAGAGTGTAATAATGTTGATAGTAAAAATCGACATGAGTATAGTAAGAAAATAGTTCAGCTAAACAATAATCATGATTACCTGTATTGCTTAAGTTAGCAATGACCATAATTAATTTAAGAATATCTTAAGAGACATTTCTGGCAGTATTTGACTTGACTAGGCTCAATTGAAAAAACAAGTTAAACAAGTTTAACTGGCTTTGTCATTAACCCATTAGGGATCTGCCATTAGAGAAGGGGAAAGGTGTGTTTTACAGTTAAATGATAGATTTAAGGACATTATGGTCGTGGTGGTTTCAAGTTAACTGAATTTCAAGTTATATCCCTAAAATCCATCTATAAAGCTTAAATTAAGAAAGAAAAGATATGGAGCTGGAGCAATAGAACAGCAGGGAGGGCGTTTTGCCTTGCATGCGGCCAACCTGGGTTTGATTCCCGGCATCCCATGTAGTCCCCTGAGTACCACCAGGAGTAATTCCTCAGTGCATGAGCCAGGAGTAACCCCTGAGCATCACTGGGTGTGACCCAAAAAGAAAAAAAAAGATAAGAAAGAAAGAAAGAAAGAAAGAAAGAAAGAAAGAATAAATTAAATGCTTAAACGCTTGTTGACTTAGGAGTCAACATGTATGATACTGTGATATCAAATCTTTGTCCATGGCTCCTTAGCTGGTTCTCAGAATCCCAGCGACTGATTTCTGTGCCTTCATTTCTGAGATGGAACTGGCAACCTCACCTTTCTCCTGGGAACATCTTTACAGGACTCACTCTGATCAGTCCCTTTCCTCTTCTCCTAGGTCACAAAGGTGACAGTGCATCTACTGCTGACGGGGGATGGGCACATGCGGAGGTGGACAGGTTTGCTGTGCTGACCGACCTGTGGACGTGGGAGGCAGCTCTTTTAGAAAACAAGCGCCAGGTATTTTTTTTTTAACCAAGAAAACAAAGCATCTGATAAATGTTCTAACAAAGTTTTTTGCTGCTCGCTACATATGGCGGTGCTTAGAGGCCACCCCTGAAATTTGCTCAGGGGTCATGTGTGTCAGTGCCCCGTACCATACATGGTGCTGGTATTTGAATCAGTGCCAAAACCATGACCACTTTAACCTTTGTACCCTGGCCCTGTTGTTGATTCTTAAACCCAGTGGATCTTTCAGAGAGGCTACCAACCAAATAAATGATCACCTCATTTTAATTATCCTAGCTATTTTCAAGGATGTGAATAATAAATTTCATTTTCTTGCCTGTCACACACACACACACACACTCACACACACAAAATTGAAGGGTTCGCTCTTCTTTGACAAACCTGGTTTGTTAGAAGGCTGTAAAATCTTGATCCTTCTGATAAGGGATATGCTTCTAAAGGAATGAATGATGGTTCCATCTACATTCATAGTCCAGTCTTGGATGAATCTCATTTTGTGAAAGACGAGACAAATGGTCTGACCCTACTATGACCTTTGGGGTTGGATGAAAGCAGTTGGAAAAGTTCTCAGAGCAAAAAGATACAAGGCCAATTTCAAGCAGTTAAATAGCACTTTATTAAAGCACTGGTATTTTTTTGTTTGTTTGTTTGTGGGTTTTTTGGGCAGTATTTTGGGGAACATAGGTGGTGCCAGGGATCAGTCAGGGGTCTGCTGCATGCCAGGCAAGTGCCCTATACTATTTCTCTGGCTTCAATATCATCATATCTTTAAATAATTAATGACTCAATAATAAGTGGAACTCTGTAGATGCATGGCTCTTCATTTGGGTCCTTAGCCTGAATTATTCCTCTGATTAATCAGTTGCTGAGAGTTGAATCATGCAACGGGAAATATTTGCTCTGTACCAAGAACTGTTCCAAACACAAAGGACATATAAATAAATAAGAGAAGATGAGCTCAATCTTTAAGGAATTTTAAGTCTATAAAATTTGATGCAATCTCTAAGTAAAAATGTTAACCCATACAAGTGAACACATTCAAGATCCAGTAGAGAAGGATTTACCCTGGAGGGGACTGAAAGAGTAAAGGAAATGGTTGCTAGTCTTCCCAGAGGAACCGATATTTTGTCCTTATTGAAAGATGAGCAAGATGTTGTCTGGCAGCAAAGGAAAGGTTCTTAAGCAGAGGAAGCAGCATAAACAGGGAATAGTGAGCCTGAAGAGAAAGAGGATGGTTGGTGTTGGGACAAAAAGGCACCTGGGGAAGAATTGAACTCGTGTTCCAGGAGCAGCTTGTGAAGGGCCTGCTGATCTGATCAGAGCTATGTTTAGAGCTAATCTTATAGGAAAAGAAGCAACATTGCTGGGTTGGGGAAGGAGAAACAAGATCCAGGCTTTATTTTCAACAGCTGTTTGGGCATCAGTGTGAAAAACCAATTGACATGAAGAGTTCCTAGAGGAAAGACATGTCCTTTGTTACAAGATGAACCAAGAGTTCAAGGAGGGGACCTACACAAGGCACGCAGTGGGGAAAAAACGGGTAGGTTGGGGAATTCAGCGGAATAGGACTCTGCGGACTTTGAAGATTGTCTACTGGACAGAGAGAATGAGAGTGGGAATTCAAAGACTGGCACAGGGTCCAGAGGAGGCCACGACCTGAAGTAATGAGGGAGGCTTGGTAGAGAGAGGAAAAGAGACCCTGGGGTCTAGGAAGCAAAGCATTCTATTGTTGTTGTTGGGGGTCACACCCAGCCACACCCAGCGCTGTTCATGGTTTACTCTTGCCTCTGCACTCAGGAATCACTCCTGGCAAAGCTTGGGGAACCAAATGGGATGCAGGGGTATGAACTCAGGTCTACCGTGTGCAAGTGTCCTACTTGTCGTATTATTGCTCCAGCCCTGATGCATGGCATTATGAGGAATTTGCAAAATGGTGGGGTGGGGGTGGGCGAGTTTATTTGGGGGTAGCAGTAGGTTTGGAGCTAAGGATTGTTTCTGAGTATGAGTGAAGATGGGGAAGTGCAGCTGAAAAGTAACAATGACGAGGAAAAAAAAACACCCAAAAACGGAGATGTCTAAAATGTGGCCTCTGCGGAGGGGAAAGGGTGTTGCTCCCTTCGCCCTTTCCTCTCTGGAAAGAAAGATGGTGGCCGCACGGGAGCCTTGTGGACAGCAGGTATGAGCCGGGGGTCGGGGGGGCGACGAAAACCTCATGGGAAGGGGGGTGTTCTGGCCCGTCCTTCACGCCCAACCGAGGTCACCAGTTGCCCCCCACGAGCAGCTCTCCGGCACGGCCACGGCCCCAGAAGCACAAAGACTTAATGCAGAAAACTAGCAGCTTGGAGCAGAAAAGCGAACGGACTATGCGTTAATCCACGCCATCATGCCTGCCCGGAGGGGAAAGGGTGTTGCCCCATTCGCCCTCTCCTCTCTGGAAAGAAAGATGGCGGCACGGCCACGACTCCAGAGCACAGAAACCAATCTCTTAATTATCTGACTTTTAGCAGAAATACTTCCAGGGTTAATAAGTAAAATAGCAGAAATCCAAAACCGCGCGGCCACAACACTTAATTCTTAAACCCAGCTGTAGAAAGCAAATCATTTCACAACGCTTTTTCAGCATGTCTGATTTGGGGGGGGGAGGGGTAAACTCTAAATAATAATGGTGCATCTTTTATCGAAACAATGAATCTAGTCAAAGTAGATAGAGTGTTAACTAGAATTCATCTGCCTCACAGGCATTGGGAGGGGTGGGAGGTGGGGTTCTATTGGGGTTTGTGGTAAAAAATAAGTATTGGTAAAGGGAAATGTGTTTGATATTTGCATGACTGAGACCTAAACCTGAAAGCTTTGTAACTTTTCCCACAGTGATTCAAGAAATAAATAAATTATTAAAAAAATAAATAAAATAAATAAAATGTGGCCTCTGTAACCCACTGAAGGACAGAGGATGATTGAATAAGAATCCATGAGAGGCAGCTCAGAGGGCTGAGCACATATTTTCATCAAGGAGCAGTTTTGATCCCCCAGCACTGCATGGTCCCCTGAGCACCACCAGGAGCCTCTTCCCCCACCCCCACCCCAAAAACTGAACTGGGAGTAAGCACTTAAACACCTCTGGGTGTGGCCCCCAAATAAAAATCAAACAGGAAGAATTCATGAGAGGAACAAGGACTAGTGAGAGACTAGAGACGAAAGGGAAGGGGGAGTGCTCCAAACCAGCCCCATCATAACTTGGTGGGCTGGGCATCTTTGCATGGTCCTGTCAGAACCAGGTGTGGGGGAAGCCGTGTCTCAGTGCCCTGTGAAGGGGTAAGAAGAGACGTAGAAATGTTTTCTTTGAATTGTTTCTCAAGTAGAATAAATGGTTTACCATTGCTCTTCGGTTTGGTACTCATGGAGATGTACATCATCCCATGTTTGAAAACAATTGGCAGAAGTTAAAGGAATGAGCCTGGGGCTTTAAAGACAGATCCTTCCCTCACCTCACCCCCACTCCCAAGAGAACTTCCCAGGAACATCAACAGAGCCCCCTTTTCTGTACCCAAGCTGCCCCTCTTCCCTTCTGGTGTTTGCAGGTCCCAATCCATGGGGGTCCCTAATAGACTCTAGCAAAACCAAAACTCGAAGGCCAAAGAGAACTGGGGATGGAGGTGAGTGTTGTGGGGGCAGGGAGGTGTGCAATGTCTCCACACTTTGACCTGTACTAAGCTGGCAGAATTGACCAATAGTTTCTGATATGGTAAATTAAATTATTTTAATGTGAGTATGTGAATCGTATTTTAAAATATCTCCTTTCTACCTCAAGAATGTTCAGTAGAAAATAACTTATTGTGCCAAAACTATGGCTTTCTCATCAGAAATCAATTTAATTTTTTAATTTTTTAATTTTAAAATCAATTTTCAAGATTTTTTAGTTTTGGGGCCTTATTGAATGTTGCTTTGGGGGGGCTACTCTTGGCACAGTGGTTGGGGAACTGTAAGGTAGCAAAGATGGGGATTCCTGTATGCAAAACACACACACATCAGTCCTTGGAGCCATCTTTTTGATCCATTTGTTTTTAAATGGGTAGATTAAATTCTGTTCATTACTATGTAGTTTGGGCCAGAGCCATAGCTTAGCAGGTAGGATGTTTGCCTTGCACGCAGCCGGCCTGGTTCAATTCCTCTGTCCCTCTCGAGAGCCTGGCAAGCTACTGAGAGTATCCCGCCCGCACAGCAGAGCCTGGCAAGCTCCCTGTAACATATTCAATATGCCAAACACAGTAACAACAAATCTCACAATGGAGATGTTACAGGTGCCCACTCGAGCAAATCGATGAACAACAGGAGGACAGTGCTATAGTGCTACTAAGCACTTTAATAAAATGAGGCTACCATGATATTTTACTTTCCATGCTTTAGCACACAATTAGGAAAAACAGATGAGGGTTCTGTAACCCAATGCCATTACCACATAAGAATTAGCTTTTATTTTAACCATTTTAGTGAGGCACTTGGATTTACAATACTGTTAAATTATATTTTTCAGGCATACATCATTCCCACACCACACCCATCGCAGCGTGCCTGCTTTCCTGCACCAGTGTGTCAAGGGCACCTTCTGACCTCCTCCCCTTCCGTGGAACCTCTGTTCCATAGACAAATCAGATTTTTAACTGGACTATCACAGATTTCCAGTACTAATTCTACTGCCAACAGTCGCAGATGTTTTTGATTATTAAAGATATCGGAGTATTAAGAGTATAGAATTGGATTATCTTGGAGTTGGAGAGACGGCTCAAAGCATGCTTTGCGCGCAGGAGGCAGAGGTTAAATCCCCAACACCACATTGTCCCCCAAATATCACTAGGAGCAATCCCTGAGGACCAAGCCAGTAGTAGGTCCTGAGAACCCCAGGGTATAGCCTCCAAATACATCCCTCAAAAAAAAAAAAAAAGAATTGGGCTATCTTGAAGTCCTAAGAAATTTTTACATGACCCCAGGTACGT